TACTTTGGGGTAAGAATGTGAAAATTAATCAAAGTGCCCCTATACATAATTCTTGTCTCATTCCTTCTATTTACAAGCTTTATACTTCCTGGCAACAATGAAAATATTTATTAAATTTTCATCTCACAGCACTAATAAATTTATGAGCGTTACAACTTTATATTTTCGTATGAAATTTTCTGGTCATAATTATTTTTTTGTCCGTTCACTGAGGAAAGATGAACAATATGTTTACAACTATATAACTAAAATTATATTTTTTGTACAACATATTTCAATTATAAATTGGTGTTTGTAATTTGAATGAAATTTAAAATCTGACGATGGCGCTGCTGTCTCGCCGAAACGTAACGAAATAAACGATATACAAAAAAAAATATTTCACACAGTGACTGGAGCCCAGGAAAAAAAATAATTATATAATTAATGTAAGGTTTAGCGGTTAATAGATTGCGGAATAAAACATTATTTTTTCTGGGAGTACATTTCGGCTATGGTTAAGCCATCGCTAGGATTATTGAAGAGAGACAGAACTATTTCAGACTTAAGAAAAGTAAATTATAGTAGTTGATGAATAAGAGAAGAGAGGAAGGAAATAAATAAAGGAAAAAATAGACAAACCAATAAAATCAACAACTTTTGCAAAAATATTAGAGTTAAAAAATTACAATTTTCTTCCTTCTTCGTCTAATATCTCTCTGGTCCCAAAATAACATGCACAAATTACAAAAGTTAAATAAAACCGGAGAGACAAAGAACAAACGCAATATTGTTTAATATTTTAAAAACATTTTTTTATTATTTTTATAAATTTAATCTTGAGTATCTTAGGGACGCAAACAGCAAATAACCTGAGTAAAATATTTTCGATGGATTGAATGACTTTGATTATTAGCTTTCCAAATTCGTCACAATATGTGATACATCTACACAATTTTTAAAGAATATTTTAAAAAACACCACGACAGGAGCTAGGCATACTCTCTATTTAAGTGTAAGACGCTTAAATTGAAGCTTGATATGGTAATAAAATAAAGGCACTTGTTGAATTGACTACTAATTCAAAAAGTTAATAATAAAGTTCAAAAAATAAATGTGATAAATTAAAAAAAAAGGATTATTTTTCTACTTGGAAAAATGGAGGCTTGCGGAACTTGGTTACCTTAAGTTTATCAGATATTTGTATCCATAGATTTCACCCCTATTTTTGGTGCGTAGTTTTACAGGGGAAATTTATCAGAATAATAAATTTAGATTTTTGTTAAAAAAACTATTTCATTTTTAATTGCTCAATTCTAAGCGTGTAGTAGAGAGTAATGCACTTTAACTTAATAATTATCTTTCCTAAGTGACTCTAAACATATTTGGTGATTTCATGACACATCTTCCATGGGATTATAAGATTTTCCAGTCATTCCAAGAGATTTTTTCAAATTAAATGCTGGAAAATCTATTTTCTTGCCAAGATTTTTGTAAAAATCATTATCAAGATTATTTCATGAGTGTCATAACGGGCAAACTCCTAGTCATTTCGTTGGAACCTATAAATTTAATTTTCGAACGATTTTGAAAAAATCCATTCAAAAATATCCAGTATTAGGTACCTATGTACTAACTGATAAAACAACAAAAAAACGCCTGATGGCATTAAAAGATAATACAATTTTTGTTAATTCCTAACCAACACAGTATAGAATAATTTGGTTTGAGACGCTTCCTGCATTTTAGTTTTGCAGTTTACTTCAACGTGTACCTTAAAGCAGCAAAGTTTTTTTGTTGGATTTAAGACAAGCTATCAGCTGCCATTATTTGGAAATTTTAAGTTAACCGAGAAATAAATTTTCCTTTATTGTCAAATTAAAGTTAAGCTTCAAGTTATTATTTCGTGTTTTGCATGTTTTTGCGTTGAAATTTTGTTTAATTGCTTCATGTAGTCCGAATTAATAACCGGCATCTTATAACTTTCGCTCTAAACTACTAGTGGTAGTAGTAGTATTGTTCATTTTGTTATGTCTACATTGGTCCACAACATTTCCAACCAATTTAGATTGTATGAAGCAAGCATCGGCTGACTTTACCAAACTAACTCAAACACTCTATGTAATTTAATTATTGGTTGAAGAAGTTAAGGTCCGTGTTGGAATTCTAAAGTGCACATACATAGTGCCCCCATTTTACTCCCATATGACAAATTACTAATAATATAATATTATCCTAAAATGTTAATAATATTCGAGCAAAATATACGTATCAGAAAATAGGTAAAACCAAATATAAAGTTCAAATAGATATGGAAATAGCATATGGATTATAAATATTCGCTATATTGAAAAAGCACACACATAGAGCAAACAATCGCGGTTGGTAGCTACACCTGAGACTCAGAGATAAGATTCAATTTGCGATCAATCTAAATAACTTTCGGCGTCGCAACCACTTTCAGGAAACTCATGTGCACTAGGAAAGTTCTGATATTGAATGTGTTTTCAGGAAATCCACTTTAAATGGCCTTTGGTACCGAGCTACTATAAAATCTACTCAGTGCATAGGTTATCGAAAACAGCTGAATAGGATAACAATAAATTAAGTTTTGCCTCAGGTTGATCCGTTTGATTTAGGTGTCAGCTTTCCTGCTTACAAAGCTATCAGTTTACAGCGCAGCTAATATATTAAAGAAATCTATTAGCTGCAAAAGGAATAAATTTAAGATAAAAGTGGATTGGAAATGATCGAAAATACGAGTGTTAGAAACTGCTGAAAAGTAGCTGTTCTTTGTAAATTTAACCAGCTTCTGGAAAACTCTGTCAATCGTATTAAAGTTAAGAGCAAAGTATATAGTTGAGTTCGTTTAAAACATAATTTAATTATTTCTAATCTAGTAAGTTGGAAGGAACTGAAACCTTATACTCATATGACTAAGCACTAAGAATGTCATCTTCGTATGACACTATTTCACGTTAGATATTAATTCTGAATATTTGAGTAGTTTCTGAATCTTCAAAATTAGTGCTTCCAATTCAACAGTCAAATATTACAACATGCAACACGATTTTACAGGTCACCACTCTACAGTTGTTTTTACCACCGCCGTTTTTTGCCCGAGGACCAAATCAAACAATTCTATTTTGAAACATGCTCCAAATTAAGCCCGAAAGAAAACTTTTCAAAATCAAGGCTCAAACGAACACGATAAAAATTGAAATAAAACGATAAAGCAACAAACGCGTGACTCAATCCTCAATTATTATTAGAGTGTTAATGTAAGAGTATAATTTTGTTATAACAAACATTGAAAGTCAAAAACAGTTTCTTTTGAAGAGGATTCACACCTCTTTGATTATCGTTAAGACTATCCAGATTGTAAGAAGCATACGTCGCTACAAATATAATAATATAAATAATTATTTATGTCCATTTTTTATTTATATTGCTGTTCTAAAGTTAGCAAATAATTTTGCAATCGGCAGAACTGAGAACCAGAACCGATCTGGGGGTGAGACCCTAAAAATTTGATAGTTCAAAATTAAGGGCCACCCTAGTGTACAGGCTACGGACTAGCTGACTTTAAATCTATAAAACTTAATTTTATGAATATCCCAAAGGCACAGAATGAAAATTGAAATTAAAACGTACCTGGTTTATAATTGCATATATAATTAACTATACAACTTTTGTGGAACAGTAATAATTTAGCTTTATTGTCCTACTTAAAAGGCCTGTGTAAATACCGATTTAAGACTTTAAAAATATCCATTAAAATTAAAGGAATTAATTATCGAGGGAGCAAAAGTTTCCCGGGGTGATAAAGTACGATTTTATTAAAAGCAAAACTATGAAATTAAATGTGGCCTCACGTAAGCTGCAGTAAGCAGCAACTCACATTTCAAATGCATGTAGACTTCAAGTTCGGTGAGATTTGAAAATAACTGCGATTTGCTATTTCCGCGAAGTTAGTACAGTAATTATTATTTATAACCGTTAGGATATTTTGGAAAGGTCATTTCCCATATTAGTAGAAACTCAGGCTGTTTGATTGAATCGTGTTTAAATAATCTGACGCTATTTAAGAAGCATGTATAATAATTCCGTTCATTTTTTAGTTTATTAAAGTTTCGGTTTGCACTTGCAATTTCACACGAACCTTTTCAAGTAGAGTATGCAGTGCACTTTGTATTTCAGACATAATTATCAGTCTTTGACAAAACTTTCTAAACCGGATAATCGAACTGAACCTTTCTAGAGTTGAAAATATAGGTCAGTTTGAAGTAGTAAAGTTCATTTAAGTAGCATTTCATCCCATCGAGCTGGGGTCTACGGCTAAACCTGACCTGGCATCTTAATAGCTCTGATATATTATAAACTTAACCGTTAGCAACTTCGAAGCTTGGGATACTGTATAATCTTAGGGGCTTTACACATAATATAAGGTTCAAGGTATTAGCACCTGACCTTCTGATACGTCAACATTTTCAGGATTTAATCCATCTTTACCTAATTTCACATCCCACTTTATTGCTTGTAGGTATTTGAGTACATTATTTCCTTTTGAAAGTATAGCGAACATCTAAGTATTAAAATTATTTCATTTATTTGATTCCTTTATATTTATTTATGTGTTTGGTAGGCATGTTAGAAAAATTGGAAAGTCCAGTAATTACACAACTAATACAGAACTTATAGTCTATAGAGCTATAGCTTTATACTCTAGAAAGTGCATATCATAACGATGCACGATATATCACTTAAGCTACCGTGCCTGTGGATAAAATAGTTTAATGGGATTGTTTGATTTATACAAAAAAATAAGTTAAAAATATTAATCTTAGGACAAGAGAAGAAAAATACTGCTTTGCAAATTAGCGTTGACTTTAATTTATTTCTGCAATGTATGCAAGTCTTAAGAACACCGAAGTATCATATTCGATGATATATTCACATAAAACTTTAAATTCAAGTTACTGTCTTGAAAGTATTTGTAATATGCGCTATCTTTCTTTTCAGACAGGTAGCGCGTTAATCACGACCATCGGAGGACATGAAAGTAGCCGAGAAAATGTCTCCTATGAATACCAACTAGTAAGTAGAGCATGCAAATTCAGCCAAAAAAAACTCTAGCTAAACTTGTAACCACGTTGTAGAAGTAAAAAGTTCACTTTAATTTGCTTCCGTTTCTTTAAGTGCTTGTGGACCTTCGTTACGTTTGTTTATTAAAAAACTCGGTTTCTGATTAAATTAAAGTTGATGAAAGCCTTTTAAGTAATTATCAACAGTTAAAGTTGACATTTGGCAGGATTCAAATAGTTTTTGAACTACAGCAACATTGCAGTGAACCTTTAAGAATTAGAAATGTTGTACGCTGAATTAAGAGTGACTCGGAAGCCGATGATATTATGATGATGCAAAAAGTAGCCACCGAATTATTTCCAGACAAATAATTTTATTGACTCTTCGAATGTATTTGATTATTGATTCTTCGCATTCATTCATGTTCATTCAAATTTAGACTATTCTGCTGCTCTAAATCAGACAGTTTCATCCAAAGATGCGAGCAAATAATTTCTTGAAATTTGTGATAGACGTTTAATCTATAACTAAATTAATATATAAATAAATGGCGTTTGGGTGTTATACTTATAATATGGTCAATAAAATATCTTTCATTTTCTATTATTTCTTACATTTTAATTAGATCACTCTTTGCTTAGTTTGTTACCAAAATATATACATTTTAACAGGCGTTTACTTTTTCATTGCCTAACTGTAAAGCTTCTCATTCGTTCATTCTCTTGGTCCTCGATGGTTTATGCAAAGATATTGATTTTGTTTTAAATTGGCTTCTTTCTGTTAGAATATTTTATATTTTTCAATCTGTTCTTTATATCCCTATATTCTAGGTCAGTTTTTATCTTGTGCCACAATTGTCGTGACTGTGTGAAAAATGAAGCCTATTTAGATATCTGTGGTCAATGTCTAGTCCTATACTTTAGTGTATTCTTTTCCACAATTTGATAGCTTCATTTGTAAAAGGCAGCATCCCTGTTATAAGCCCTACGTTTTTTTTCTTATTAATTATTAATACTGTATCTTTATGCAGACTTGAGGTATTATCAATAAGTGGCATTCACGTTAATATTCGTTTTTGTATATTGTTGGTGTTTCGGGACGGTGAAGTGCCCAATCAGGTGGAGCAACTTTAGTGGCCTGTATTAAATTTATTTGTCTCCACAGGCGCACTGCAGGCTTTATGATCGGTAGAACTAACACACAAAGTTCCTAGTAAAAAAGATATATTCGAAGGACCAGTTTGGTTCGTGCAAACACACTTATTTTATTGTACAAAACACGAATGAGATTTGTAAGCAACTATTTTTGAGAGAACAAAAAGGGAGTTAAAATTGTTCGGTGGTTCGTTTTCTTCAGTTTTCTTCTCCTTTTTGTAGAAGGGTACATTTTTAACACCCGACTGCCGCAATGTTGTCAACGTGCCGTTGGCATGCAATGTTAAAGGGATTTAGATTGTTTGAGGTTTCTCGAACAGTTAGTTTAGTTTTGTTAGTTGTATTTTGTTGGCTTATTTATAATATTAGTTTTTTACAGCGCTCTCCACAGATTGGCAATTCTGCATTGGGTATCGCATCACAAGATTTTATTAATCTTGCGGATCATGAGCAGATGAGTTTTCTGTGACTTCCATTCTCCATCCACTATTTGGAATATTTTCTATAAATTGTGAATTTTTTGCCTGCAAATCCATTTTGTTCCTCTGGTTCATTTTACCCGAATCTTTCACATATAAGTTCTTTAATTATCCACCCTCTTCCGTTATTTCTCATTTGTGTACAGCTTTTAGTTTTCCTTTCTTCTCTTTGAGAATATTAAAACGTTTTCCGTATCGTCTCTTAATAATCTTAATTCCAAATCAAATTCATTCCAGGGTTTCAGTCATTTATTGCCTCTATTTATGAATCGAAAAACGTTTCGGTGTATTTTTCCACCATCATCAGTTTTTATGTGTAGCGTTGTTGCTGCTTTAAGCCTTGGCATGCATTTTTGCAAAGAAAATGTTCATTATCAAAAGCTGTTTATATTTTATTTTTATTATGCTGGAGATTGTTTATTCATTTTAATATAATATGGTCGAGTTTAAAAGCTGCTTGGTCACTTCCAAGTTCTCAACGCCGATATTTCCAAGTCAGTTTAATCGGAAATAAATACTTGAATAAGCTACTAATTTCGCTTAAAAGAACGGTATGAGCGGATTTAAGGATTATAGATTTACATAGATAAAAATTTAAAAATGGATACTATACTCGTACATTTTCAAGCATATTAAATGGTAATTTCATGAAGAGTTGTCTCGAAGGTTCAGTTTCTTCGTATCTAAGAATTCAAAACCACTCACTAAAACTTTGGCTAGCCTGACATGCAAGTCAACTTCTATTCAGGTAAGTGCGGCTTTCAAAAGTTTCTTAATTTAACATCTCCGTCTATTAGTTTTGTCTCGCTAAGTTTGGAAAAACTTTTACGGCGAACCAAAGAATAATTTCGCAAAATCTTTAATCCATAGTAAGAGATTTGCTCAATGCTAAATCTGTACATCTATCAGAAAAGAACTTAAACTGAAATTGTGAATTTTAGGTAACATTTTAACTGCATTTCTGCATTTAGTAAAACAAAAAGTAAATTTTGACTAACTAACTGAAATATTGTAAACAAAAGGTCGCTTTCCCCATTTAAAATAAAGCTAATTAATTTTGAAGCTGCCGAACTTTAACAACTGTTACATATTTTGATTTTGTTCGACTTTTGTTTGCCTATCAAATTGTTTTTAGTTCCGAAATAAAGCGACTTTTAATATTCTTTTTAGAATCATTTTACCCGAGTGAGAACATTTTAGGAGTGTAACAATCAAAACTTTCTCTCGTATAGTACTACTTCTAAAATAAAGTCGCATGTAGAGGATAAACGTAAGCAAATAATGTATTTACATTTTTACACTGCTGGAGCCACTTGTACTTTAATGTACACTTTTCTTACCAGAGAGATTAGAGTGTATTCGCAGTTTCTCATTACATTTCGTAATAATTGTTGAATATTTTAACAGATCGTCTTTGAAAAGGAATCATTTAACATGTCATGCATCTTGAGACGTTACACGTAGAAGCAAATTCGTATATGAGAACGTTGCATTTGCTTCAGTTTTGAATTCTTAAAAAAAGCTGAAAGTTTTATGTAGTGATTACAACAAATGCCAATGAAAAATGCCAAGTTTCAAGCGGAGACCTACTTTTATACATCTACCATTTTTATGGAACGAGACGAAAAATGAAGTCAAAAATATGTGTGTTACTTTTAAGTAGTCCTAGAATTTTCAACGAATTTATTCAGGACAGCGAATAAACTTTGAAAGTCTGGATAATCAAAGATTTCATTTGCTAATACATGAACATGATATAAAATACAAAATGAAGCTCATTCCCTATCCTATTAAACTTTACTATTACATAATTACAAACTGAACTTTATAATAAAGTAAAATTAAAATTTTATTTTAAAAGATAAAAGATTTCTAGCAAGGATTTAATGTATCTGATAAGACGAACTCTAGACGGACATAATTTATGAGGCGTACCGCAATTTTTTTATTTTTCTCTAAATAGTGGTAAAAACAAGCTGACGTTAATTCTAAACAATTGCTAAAATAATAATATATCAAATATACCATGTAATTTTTAAAGACGCACCATCACGTTTACACCTTTATGTTCCCACGGTAGCTTTTTAAGAACGTCTTCCAAGGGTAACCTAAAACGCGTTGGGGATATAGGATCACCCTGGCGAACTCCGCTGTTAATTGGAGTTTTACGGTTCTCTGGTCTTCCGGAATTTTTACACGGAAAGTAGCGCTTCTGTAGATTCTCTTAAGAAGGGCAGAATATCTTGAGTCAATTCCTGCTCTATCCGTCGCACGCAGGACCGCCCATGTTTCAACGGAGTCAAATGCCCTACGAAAGTCTATAAACGCGAATTGAATTGGAACATTATACCCCGTTGTCTTCTCTATTAACATTTGAATGGTCTACAAGTGATCCATAGTGCTGTATCCCTTTCGACATCCCATGTGCTCCACTGGTTGATAGGCATATAATCTACTTGTTAGTCGGTTTGTAACGATCTTTGTTAATGGTTTATAAAGGTGGGAGAGAAGGGTGATGCGTCGATAATTTTCAAACTCCGTGATGTCGCCCTTTTGAAAAAGCAGAACAACCTCCGCGTTGTGCCATATTTCAGGGATGTTGCCTTCAGATAATAATTTATTAAACAACACCTGTGGAATTTGTTCCATGAAATTACCGCCCATTTTTAGCAATTCACAGGATAGTCTGTCTTCACCAGGTGATTTACGGTTCTTCATTTCTCCTAGTGCTACTTTCATTTCATGTGTATAACTGAGAATAAAATATTTCTACTAATCTAGAGATTTCGGCTCTTCCAGTCAACATACAGTCATCCTCATCCTTCATTTTGAAAATTTTGCTTTTCCGGGCCAAAGTCTGGATCTAAAACTTTCATGTTAGAGTTATCTTCAATTACGGTTTCAATTGCTCTGGTATTATAGGATCTTTCATCTCTCCTTACTGCCCTCTGTTTCCTCCCGTTGAGCTGCTGGTATTCTGCTCCATCTCTGAATGTTGTTTTCCTATCTTTTATAAGTTTTAGTGTGCTTGGTGGTTTAGTGTTAGCTTGCTGTCTCTTGGTAGTTTAACTCTGAAACAAATGTTCCTGTTTATTGTGTGAATTTGAAATGAATGCTCCAGTATTTGCTTGTTTTCTCGGGAGACGATTCAAGTTCATTCCCTCTATGTTGGCAATGGGGTTAATTTATTCTCCAATTCTTTCCAAGCAGCCTCTTTATGGACGCTTATTTCGTTTGCAGTTGCGAAAATTTGCTCACTGACAAGTTTAGCTCTTTCAATTCGCTGGGTTAGCGAAATTGTTGCTCTAGTCAACCGGTGGTAGCTTCATAGCAGTTGTTTGGGGACGATGATGTGCCCAATCAGGTGGAGCAATCTTAG